TTCATCAGAAAGGGTCTAGGCCCGAAACATCAGCCTTCCTGCTCCTATGATGCTGCTTGGCCTGCTGTGTTCATCCAGCTCTACACCTTGTTATCTCAGATTCTCCAGCATCTGCAGTTCCTACTATCTGTGCCATAAAAACCTGTCTGGTTCACTGAGTTTAATTTAAGGAAGGAAATTTGCCATCTTGACTATTGGGGCAGCCCAATTACAGAATTATCTTGCCTATCCAGCATTACAGTGAGGCCTTAAGTTAGCACAATGATAGCTTTCAGAAGGAATTATCTCAAGGTAATAGGGTCTACTTTGAACAAAGAATTTTACAGATTAAAATACAAGGAGTTCTGTAAAAATAACAACTGTGGATGTCTGTAAAGGACAATTTGATAAGAGATGTCTGGAACAGACAGCCTGAAGTTTGTAGCAAGCATTAGAAACAAAAGTATGATCCCACAATAAAATAGACAAATGATAAGGATGAGATTATGTCTTGTAAAAACCCTAGGATATCAATCAAGTTCATTGAGCTGGGAAAGTGATTCAGTTTTAATCTCATTAATGAAACAGTTGTTGTCTTATTAGGTAGAAGAATTAGTGTAGAATATTCAGAGTCAGTAAATATCATCTTAAAAGACAGCACGTGACTAGAATGAGATATAATGCAGCTGCAAGGTCAGGTCAGGTGGGACAGAAGCTGCTCACAACATTGGCTATAAAATGCTAAAAATAAATGCTAATATAACCATAAAACTTTATATTTGAACAAAAATTATAAATCTTATAGCAATTAGTAGAAATTAACATGTTTTTATATCTCCTGTGATTAGGCCAGTGGGAAATATAAAATGAAAAACAGAAGGATAGCAATGAATACAATGAAAAACAGAATTCGAGCAGCCCTTAGAGACAAACAATGTCTGAGAAAGAGTATAACCATTAACTTTGGAATGTGAATTAATGGAGTACATGGTAAGATCCCAAGGCTTGATGATAAGTCATGTCTGGTAAACATCATGATATCATGGGGAACCAAGGGATGTCTGTAGGGGTGTCCATCATTGATTGTGTGTTTATAGGATTGGATGTGTAGACTGGGGGCAGATGTACCATGTAATTATTCTAACATGAAATGTATAAAAGTGCTATATCCCATGAGATAAATCAAAGTGTCAGAGGGCCACTGTGCCCCATGTGAAAGCCAGATTTGGAGCAGTCTCTGGCCTCCGCTGCATGTGTAGTAAAGAGTTTAAACTAAGATCAATGGTACTGCTGAACACAGAACCTGGGACTCCTCTTTGACATCTTTTCCCAACACTGACCTGGTCTGGCCTACATGTGACTGCAAACCCACAGAAATATGATTGACTTTTAGCTGACTTCTGAAATAGTCTAGCAAGCCGTTCTGCTTTATCAAACAGCTATGAAATATAAGAACAGGAATGAAACTGGATGGACCACCCAACGTCAATAAAGACTTTGGAAGTTAAAATGGCAAACTCAACATTGTTGACCCTCTAAACATCTGGGGGTTTGTGCTAAAATAGGAAGAGATGACTCATGGATGAGTGAAACAACAGCCTGACAGAGTTATCCTTACTGGTTCGTACTACCTTCACCATCCCTGGGTATGCCCCTTCCAAAGGAAGGACAAACCCATCAGAGGTGGCAGCACAATGGCATGCAGTCAGGAGGCAGATGCCTTATTAGCCCTCAACATTAGAACATGGAACATTGATTGTAGATCTCATGGCAGCAAGTGAAATATCAACCTCCTGCTGATTATGATGTAGTGCCCTCCATTGGCTGATGAATCAGTAATCGTCCATTTTGAACAACGCATGGAAGAACCACGCACAGTCCTCACTGAGATGGAATCTTGTCTTCACATTGAAGATACCTTCCATTGTGTTGTGTGGCACTATCACTGTCAAAACTGGGATAGACTTCAAACAGATCTAGTAACTTAAACCTGAGCATTCTTGAGATGCTATGGGCCATAAGCAGCAGCAGCAGCAGATTTCAACCATAATCTGATTCCTCATGGCTTGGCACATCCCCTACTCAACCCTGGTTCTATGAGCTTACAGGAGGGCATACCAAGAGCAGCACCAGGCATACCAAAAATGAGGTGTCAACCTGTTGAAGCTACGAAACAGCATTACTCGTGTACTCTTAGAATTCCAACTTACTGATCCATCTCGGCCTCCTCCAGAAATCCCCAGCATCAGCAATGACAGCTTTCAGCCAATTTGATTCAAAAGAACAAAAAGAATAAAAGAGAAGTGCAGCACAGGAACAGGCCTTTCGGCCCTCCAAGCTTGTGCTGATCATCATGCCCCAACTAAACTAAAAAACAAATCTTCTGCCCTTATTCGGTCCGTATCGCTCTATTACCTCCCATTTCATGTAACCATCCAGATGCCTCTTAAATGTCGCCAATGTGCCCACTTCCATTACCTCTTCTGTCTGTGTGTTCCAGGCTCCTACCACGATCTGCGTGAAAAACGTCCCTTGCACATCTCCCTTAAACTTTTGCCCTCTCACCTTGAACCTGTGCCCCCTTGTAATTGAAACTTCAACCCTGGGAAAAAGCCTCTGACTATCCATTCTATTTGTACCTGTCATAATTTTGTAGACCTCTATCAAGTTTCCTCTCAGCTGCCGACTTTCCAGTGAAAACAATCCTAGTCTTTTTACCCTTTCCTCATATCCAATGCCCTTGAGACCCGGTAACACCCTGGTGAACCTTCTCTGCACTCTCTCCAAAGCTTCCACATCCTTCTGGTAACGTGGCGACCAAAACTGCACACAATAGTCCACATGCGGCCTGACAAGGGTTTTATATAGCTGCAACGTGTTTTGTCAACTCTTGTACTCCACGCCCTGGCCAATGAAGGCAAGCATGCCATATACCTTCTTAATCACTTTGGCCACCTGTGTTGCCACTTTTAGGGAACTGTGGATCTACACGCCCAGATCCATCTGTATGTTAATGTTCCTAAGGGTTCTGCCATTTACAGTATAATTCACACCTACATTTGATCCTCCAAAATGCATCACCTCACATTTGTCTGAATTCAACTCCATCTGCCATTTCTGTGCCCAAGTCACCAAACTATCTATATCCTGTTGTATCCTTTCACAATCAGCGGCACTATTAGCAACCCCACAAATCTTTGTGTCATCTGCAAACTTACTAATCAGATCACCCACAGTTTCCTCCAGATCATTTATACATACCACAAACAACAGAGGACCGAAGACTGATCCTTATGGAACACCATTAGTTACCAGTCTCCATTCTGAAAAGCACCCTTGCACCGCTACCCTCCGTCAAGGCCTAGCCAGTTTTGTATCCATGTACCCAACCCACCCAAAATCCCATGTGATTTTAGTTTTTGTATCAATCTGCCACGCGGGACCTTATTGCTGTCCACTGGAGTAGTACCAGATGATTGGAGGGTGGCAAATGTCATTCCCTTGTGCAAGAAAGGGAATAGGGAAAATCCTGGGAATTACAGACCGGTCAGTCTTATTTCTGTAGTAGGCAAATTATTGGAGACGATTCTGAGAGATGATATTTATGCTTATTTGGAAAAGCACAGTTTGATTAGAAATAGTCAGCATGGCTTTGTGAGGGGCAGGTCATACCTCACAAGCCTTATTGAATTCTTTAAGGATGTGACAAAACACATTGATGAAGGTAGAGCAGTGGATGTGGTGTTTGATAGGCATTTGATAAGGTTCCCCATGGTAGGCTCAATCAGAAAGTAAGGAGGCATGGGATTCAGGGAAATTTGGCTGTCTGGATATAAAACTGGCTGTCCAATAGAAGACAGAGGGTGGTAGTAGATGGAAAGTATTCAGCCTGGAGCTCGGTGACCAGTGGTGTTCCACAGGGATCTGTTCTGGGACCTCTGCTCTTTGCGATCTTTATAAATGACTTGGACGAGGAAGTGGAAGGGTGGGTTAGTAAGTTTGCTGATGACATGGAGGGTGGTGGAGATGTGGACAGTATGAAGGGCTGTTTTAGGTTGCAACAGGACATTGACAGGATACAGAGCTGGGCAAAGAAGTGGCAGATGGAATTCAACCCAGAAAAGTATGAAGTGATTCATTTTGGAAGGTGGAATTTGAACGCAGAATACAGGGTTAATGGCAGGATTCTTGGCAGTGTGGAGGAACAGAGGGATCTTGGGGTCCACGTCCATAGATCCCTCAAAGTTGTGACCCAAGTTGATTGGATTGTATAGAAGGCGTATGGTGTGTTGGCTTTCATTGGCAGGGGAATTGAGTTTAAGAGCCGTGAGGTTATGCTGCAGCTCTATAAAACTCTGGTTAGACCACACTTGGAATATTGTGTTCAGTTCTGGTCACCTCATTATGGGAAAGATGTGGAAGCTTTAGAGAGGGTGCAGAGGAGATTTACCAGGATGCTGCCTGGACTGGAGGGCAGGTCTTATGAGGACAGGTTGAGGGAGCTTTTTTCATTGGACCAAAGAAGGATGAGCAGTGGCTTGATAGAGGTGTACAAGATGATGAGAGTCATAGATAGAGTGGATAGTCAGAGGCGTTTTCCCAGGGCAGAAATGACTCTTACGAGGGGGCATAATTTTCAGGTGATTAGAGGAAGGTATAGGGGAGATGTCAGAGGTAGGTTCTTCACACAGAGAGTGGTGGGTGTGTGGAATACGCTGCCAGCAGTGGTAGTGGAGTCAGATAACTTAGAGACTTTTAAGTGACTCTTGGATAGGCACATGGAGGATAGTAAAATGTAGGGTATGCAGGGTAGTTTGATCTTAGTAGTAAAATAATAAGTTGGTGCAACATTGTGGGCTGAAGGGCCTGTACTGTGCTGTGCTGTTCTATGTTCTATGTTCTTCTGTTCTAATTTCCTATCAACCCTTTCATCATGTTAATTCTTGGTGTAAAGTGTTGCATGGGAATAAGACCCTCCATTATGAGTCACATGGTTTAAAAGTGTCTCTCACCCAAGTGATTCATCCATGATGCAGCCACCCATGATCTTGCCTTGACAGGTACATTTCCGTGCTGGACTGTCATGTATCATTCCCAGATTGTGTCCTATCTCATGTGCAAGAGTGGAAGAAACAGGCAAATGGCTGGATCGGTTGTCCTGAGAGAGAACAGGAAAAATATACAGTGAAAACTGTATTTAAATAAAGAAATAGGCCTGTAAACTAGTCCAAAATGCTAAGTCTGAGGATTAGGAAGTGTTTAGAACCCTGCAAGTGAAGGCCAAGAGAAAAGAGACTATCCTCTGCCCTTGGGCAGTTGTTGCTATTGACTATTTCTGGAGCCTGGGACCGTAATCTGTGTCAATCAATTGTCTGAATCCTTTTGACCAATAACCAATGGACAGCTGCTCATGATACTGGCTGACCATTGTCCTCTTGTCTGCATTTGAAAATTAGCTTTCATTCCCTTTAAGAATAAAACCTTATTTTCCAAAAGACAGCATTCATAACAGGATAGTGTGTGTACAATAAATATTAAGTTTACCATTGTAGAAAGCTAGTTATGACTGTAATATAGTCAAATAAACCCATTTGGCCTTCCCTTATGACTGCCTTATGATAACAGGTTGTGTAGATTGAGCACGTACTATTTGCAATATAGAAGGATGCGATGCAACCTTATTGAAACAAACAAGATTTTTAAAAGACTTGACAGAGTCATAGAACCATAGAGTCATAAAATTATACTGTACAGAAGGAGGCCATTTGATCCATCATGTCTGTACTGGCTCTCAAAAGAGCTACCCAGCCAGAATCCCCTCCAGCCCTGTCTCCATAGCCCTTGAACTTCATCACTTTCGAATATATATCCAGCTCTCTTTTTAAACTTGCTTTGAAATCCGTCTCCACCACTCTCCCAGGCAGCGCATTCCAAAACCTAACAACTCTCTGAGTAAAGAAGTTTCTTCTCATCTCACTCCTCGCACTCTTGCTAGCAATCTTGAAATTGTGGTGCTTAGTTACTGACATACCAACCAGTGGAAGCAGAATATCCTTCCTCAACGTGTCAAAATTGTTCATCATTTTGAGCACCTCAATAAGGTCATCTCCTAATCTTCTCTGCTCCAAGGAGAATAAGCCCAATCTCTCTAATCTTTCCTTGTATTCAAAATCCTTCATTCCATAAGACCACAAGACACAGGAGCAGAAATTAGGCATTCAACCCTTCGAGTCTGCTCCACCATTCAATCGTGGCTGATAAGTTTCTTAACCTCATTCTCCCGCTTTCTCCCCACAACCTATGATCCCCTTGAAAATCAAGAACCTATCTATTTCTGTCTTAAAGGTACTCAATGACCTGCCCTCCACAGCCTTCTGTGGCAATGACTTACTAGATTCACCATTCTTTGGCTGAAGAAATTTCTCCTTATCTCCGTGGTAAAGGACTTTCCTTTTGGTCTAAAGCTGTGTCACTCCTGCCAAGGGAAACATCTTCTCAACATCCACTTTGTCCAGGCCATTCAGTATTCTGTATGTTTCAACTGGATCCCCCCTCATCCTTCTAAATCCCATCAAGAAAAGATCTAGAGTCCTCAGACGTTCCTCATATGTTAAGCCTTCCATTCCTGGGATCATTCTCCTGAACCTCCCTTGTAGCTGCTCCAGGGCCAGTACATCATTCCTGAGGTCATAGAGTCATACAGTAAAACAGCATGGAAACAGGCCCTTTGGCCTAAACTGGTCTATGATCATCATGGTGCCCACTCAGCTAGTTTCAATTGCCCACATTTGGTCCATATTGTTCTAAACCCTTCTCATGAACCCATCCAAATGCACTTTAAATGTTGCAATTGTACCTGCTTCAATCATTTTCTCGAACAAATACTAAACAAAAACTGAAAGAACTGTGAATGCTGTAAATCAGGAACAAAAACAGAAGTTGCTGGAAAATCTCAGCAGGTCGGGCAGCATCTGTGAAGGAAAAAACAGAGTTAATGTTTTGGGTCCAGTGATCCTTCCTCAGAACTAATGGTGGCTGGGAAAATGTCAGTCTATATGCAGCAAAATGGGGAGGGGGGGCGCGGTAGGGTGTAAACGATAGGATAAAACCTAAGGAGAGAGAAGAGCAGTTGGACAGACAAAGAGTTGGTAACAATCAGGCTGGGAGGGTGAATAGTTGTTAATGGGGACTAATAGTGACTAATAACAGGCATTGTGCAATGGCAGATTATGTGGTAACAAGGCCTGGTGTATGGGGTAGGGGGCTGGGACATGGGAGAGTTTAAGCCCTAAAATTATTGAACTCAATAGTGAGTCCAGAGGACTGTAGGGTCCCCAAGTCGAAAATGAGGTGTTCTTCTTCCAGCTTATGTTAAGCTTCGTGAGAACACCGCAGCAAGCCAGAGACGGACACGTTGGCCATGGAACGGGGTGGTGTGTTAAAGTGCAGGCAAAGGATAGTTCAGGGTTCAGGGTCTTTTTTACGAGCAAAATGTAGATGTTCTGCAAAGTGGTCACCCAATCTATGCTTCATTTCCCCAATGTAGAGGAGACTATACTGTGAGCAGTGAATGCAGTAGACTAGATTCTGGGAAGTGCAGGTGAAGTGTTGCTTCATGTGGGAGTTGTTTAAAGACCTGCTGATGAGAGTTCAGGATAGGAATGTTCCAGTAGGGAGGAAGGACAAGGATGGCAAGGGAAGGGACCCTTGGGAAAATGAGGCAGGTTGTGACTTTAGTCATAAGGGACAAAGAAACATATATAAGGCTTAGGAAGCCAAAATTGGACAGGGCCCATGAGAAATATAAAGAAAGTAAGAAAAAACTCAAGTAGGGAATGAGGAGAGCAAGAAGGGCCATGAAATGCCAAACAGGGTTAAAGAGAATTCCAAGGCAATCTATACATATATGAAAAACAAGAGGATAGCTAGGGAGAAGGTGGGACCACTCAAGGACAAAGGAGGGAACTTGTGCTTGGAGGCAGAGGATGTAGGTGAGATCCTAAATGAGTACTTTGCATCGGTATTCATCTAGGAACAGGATATGGAGGATAGTGAGATTTGTGTGGAGCATGCTAATATGCTAAGGCATTTTGAGATCAAGAAAGAAGTGGTGTTGTGTTTCTTGAAGAGCATTAATGTGGATACGTCCCCAGGACCTGATGGTATATCTACCTCAGATTATTGAGAGAGGCAAGAGAGGAGATTTTTGGGACTTTGACCAAGATCTTTGTATCTTTGGTAGCCACTGCAGGGTCCCAGAGAACTGGCAAGTAGCCAATGTTGTTCCTCTGTTCAAGAAGGGAAATTGGGATACTCCAGGAAACCATAGACTGGCGAGTCTATAGACCGGTAGGTCTCACATCGGTGGTTGGGAAGCTTTTGGAGAGAATTCTTAGGGATAGGATTTACATGTGTTCAGAAAAGCATGGCTTTGTGCGGGGCGGGCCATGTCTGACTAACTTGATTGAATTTTTCAAGGAGGTAATGAGGATAGAGCAGTGGATGTTTAGTAAGGCTTTCAACAAGGCCCTCTACGGTAGGCTCATCCAGAGGATGCATAGGATCCACGGTGATCTGGCTGCATGAATTCTGAGTTGGCTTGCCCACAGAAGGCAGGGGTAGGGGTGGAAGGGTGATTTTCAAGCTAGAGGTCCACAATTAATGGTGTTCCACAGGGATCCGTACTGGGACTTCTGCTGTTTGTGATATATACAAATGACTTGGATGAAAATGTAGGTGGGTGGATTAGTAAATTTGCAGATGATACAAAGATCAGTGGAGTTGTGGATAGTGTAGAATGTTGTCAAAGGATACAGCAGGATATGGATTAGTTGCAGATATGGGTGGAGCAATGGCAGATGGAGTTTAATCCGTGTAAGTGTGAGGTGTTGCATTTTTGGACATCAAACATTAAGGAAATGTATAGAGTTAATGACAGGACTCCGAACAGCACTGATGTACAGAGGAATCTCAGGATTCAAGCGCATAGCTCCCAGAAAGTAGCCACACAAGTCGATAGGGCGGTAAAGAAGGTGTATGGCATGCTTGCCTTTATTGGTCAGGGAATTGAGTTCAAGAGTCAGGATGCCATGGTGCAGCTTTATAAGACTTTGGTTTGGCCACACTTAGAGTATTGTGTTCAATTCTGGTATCCAAATTACAGGAAGGATGCAGAGGCTTTGGAGAAAGTGCAGAAAAGGTTTACCAGAATGCTGCCTGGATTAGAGGTTAGGAGCTCTAAGGAGAGGCTAGAAAAATCCAGGTTGTTTTCTTTGGAATGGTAGGGACTGAGTGGAGACTTGATAAAAATTGATAAAATTATGATATGAATAGATAGAGTTGATGGTTAGAATCTTATTGCCAGAGTGGAAATTTCGAAAACTCGGGGGCATGCATTTAAGGTGAGAGGGAGAAAGTTCAAAGGAGATTATTGAGTACAGGAGTTGGGAGGTCATGTTGCGGTTGTACAGGACATTGATTAGACCACTTTTGGAATATCAAGTGCAATTCTGGTCTCTTGCTATGGGACAGACGTTGGGAAACTTGTGAGGGCTCAGAAAAGATTGGCAAGTATGTTGCCAGGGTTGGAGGATTTGAGCTAAAGGGAGAGGCTAAATAAACTAGTGTTGTTTTTGTCTGGAGCGTCAGAGGCTCAGGGGTGACCTTGTAGAGGTTTACAAAATCATAAGGGGCATGGATAGGGTGAATAAGCAAGGTCTTTTCCCCAATGTGGGGGAGTCCTAACCTAGAAGGCATAGGTTTAAGGTGAGAGGGGAAGGGCTTAAAAGGGATCTACGGGGCAACTTTCTCCCACAGTACATGGAATGAGCTGTCAGAGGAAGTGATTGAAGCTGATCCATTTAAAAGGCATCTGGATGGGTCTGTGAATGGGAAGGGTTTAGATGGATATGATCCAAATGCTGACAAATGTGATTAATTTAGGATATCTGGTTGGCAATGGAAAAATTGGACCGAAGGGTTTATCTCCATGCTGTATAGCTCTATGTCTGTATGACTCTATGAGATATGAGGGGCAGGTTTTTTACACAGACTTTTAGATAAGCACATGAACATGCAAGGAATGGAGGGATATGGACAAAGGACAGGCAGAAGGGATTACTTTAATTTGGCATCATGTTCGGCACAACACCGTAGGCC